ATAGTTTGGGGTGGTTTCTCTTTTTTAGTTTTAGTAGTGCGGCATTGTTTGATATCCTTAATCAAGTCAGATAAAAGTTTGGGTTTTGTCAGAGGGGATTATTTTATTCCTTGATAGACTGAATCGTGATTATGGTACAAATGCTAATATACAGTGTGTGTTTGTCTTCGTTCCCCCAACCCTCACCACACTCTTCATATAGGTCAAGTCAAAAATGCCACCATAAAAACACATTTCTGTAGTAACGCCTTGAAGAATATAGACAAGACCATCAGGATGTCTGGAGGCCATCCTCATTGTAGCAGCTTAGTTACTTTGCCCTGCCTCGCATTCATGTTCGACAGGTTCGTTGCGTTCCACGAAAGGGGGAAGGAAAGAAGCGTACGCATCGTCTCATCGTATCGAACGCCATCACAACCGCGAGTTTAGTAGAAAGAGTATGTCCCTCGACAATAGGCGGCATGCAGGCCGTCGTCGTCCATCACAGTCACAATATAAACTCTCACTTTTCCATACCGAACCGTCGGACCAAGCAAGCACAACAGCCCGGAATCACGAAATCAACTAATGCCGCACCATCGTCATCCTACTGCTGCTGCTGCTGCTGCTGCGGCTGCTGCTGCTCCGGTCCCAGCTCCCCTCGCTCGCGCAACCTCTCCTCCGCCCAGATCTTCTCAATGCGCTTGCGCTTCTCGCGCGCCTTCTCGCGGTTACGTTTCGCGCGCTCGTACCGCTCCGCGCCCAGGCAGCGGTTCACTTCGCGCTTGATGTCGTTGCATTGGCCCAGCGCTTTCCAGAGGAAGCCGCGCGCGTGGCATTCGTCGAGTGCGGTCATGATTTCCTCGCAGTCTGGAAGGAGTCGTGGTTTGGTTAGTCTCGAATCAATTCGATTCTGTTACTTTGATATTGTATTCATTGGGATAGATGCTGAGAGAGAGGGAGGGGGTAGACGAACTGGCATTTTCGGGGGTGTGAAGATGCGAGTGCATCTTGTCAGGTGGAAGAATTCAATTGCTATATGTATGTATGTAGGTAGTTAGGCAGGCAGGTATACAGGTTGACGAATGTCCCCAGTTAGTCAATCGTCGAAACAAGCTTGTTCTTGAAGCTTGTGTTCATGGATCGAGATACCGTCCGTAGATCTCCGCAGAGCCGTTTAGGTTAGTAAGTCATGTTCTGCGGCAGGCGGTGAAGCGGTCGGTCGGGCGACTAGCGCCGCCTTGTTGCATTCTGCCGGGCGGAAAACCGCTTTGGGGCACAAAAAGTGGACAAAAATTTCCATATCCCCTCCAGCAGCAGCGGTGCAAACTGCAAATCTTCCCCTGCGGGTTGAAAGCTGCCTGTGAAAAGGCAGAGATCGTGCCCGACATTTGTTTTTTTACAGGGTTATTTCCCGGTTCCGGGTTTTGGTTCGATAAAATATTTTCGAGCCTGAGGCTCCTCACTCGCGACCCCGCGCTTGTTCGCGTTTGAGATCCATTTGCAGTTTCAATTATTTCTTTTAATAATCGTATCACTCTACAAAATGTCTATGATCACGACGACAACGTGGGTGCGACGCGGTGTCGCCGCCCAATTCCCCACGAAATACGAGATCGACGAGGAAGAGTTCAATCGGATATCGGAGCTGGCTCGAAAACAGCTGGAGGATGCCAAGGGTGATCTGAAATCTGCCAAAGAGGAAGACGACAAGGAGAAGCAGGCAGAGACGAATCCTGATGCAATGGATGAGGACCAGGATCAGCAGGACGGTAAAGAGGAGAAATCGAAAAACAACACAACGACCGAGTAAGCGTTGACAGCGGATGCGGGAACTGCGGGCCAGTTTGCTAACTGATATATTCTTTTTTTTCTGGGCAGAAATATTGAGATTGATGACGACCTCAAAGAATATGACCTCGAGCATTATGACGACGATGAGGTCGACGAAGACGGTGAAAAAATTACCATGTTTGGCAACATCAAGTCGCTGGTCTACCACAAACCCGGAGAGAAAGATCCATACCTGCAGCTTCCGGACGACGAAGAAGACGAGGAAAAAGAGGATCTGCAGATCCTCCCGACGGATAACCTACTCCTAGCGGGCAAGGTCGAAGACGAGGTCGCGCACCTAGAGGTGTACGTCTACGAAGATGAGGCCGACAACCTCTATGTCCACCACGACATCATGCTTCCGGCCATCCCGCTCTGTCTGGAGTGGTTGGATCTGCCGGTTGGAAGGGGCTCTGAGGGTCGCACTACTGGCAACTTTGTTGCGGTTGGAACCATGGACCCGGATATCGAGATTTGGGATCTCGACGTCGTCGACTGCATGTATCCCAACGCCATTCTTGGCCAGGGAGACGCCGAGGAGAATGATGACAAACCAAGCAAGAAGAAGAAGAAAAAGTCCAAGAAGGCCAATTCCGAGTACCACGTCGATTCCGTCCTGGCGCTCGCTGCGAACCGCCAGCACCGGAACCTGCTCGCGTCTGGCTCGGCGGATAAGACGGTGAAGCTGTGGGATCTGAGCACGACGAAATGCGCCCACTCGTACATGCACCACCAGGACAAGGTCTGCGCGCTGGACTGGCATCCCAAGGAGTCGACCGTCCTGCTCAGCGGCAGCTACGACCGCACCGTCGTCGCAGCGGACATGCGGGCGCCCGAGGCCAAAGCGGCCCGCTGGGGGGTGGCGTCGGACGTGGAGAATCTGCGATGGGATATTCACGACCCCAACTTCTTCTACGTGACCACCGACGGCGGTATGGTCTACCGCTACGACGTGCGAAACGCGCCCGCCACGCCGCAGGAATCCAAGCCCGTGTGGACGCTGCAGGCGCACGATTCGTCGGTGTCGTCATTCGACATCAACCCGACGATCCCCGGGTTTCTGGCCACAGGTTCGACGGACAAGCAGGTCAAGCTGTGGAACGTGCAGGACAACAAGCCGAGCATGGTCGTGTCCCGCAAACTCGACGTGGGCAAGGTGTTCTCGACGACATTTGCGCCGGATCCGGAGGTGAGCTTCCGCCTGGCGGTGGCAGGCAGTAAGGGAACGGTTCAGATTTGGGACACGTCGACCAATGCCGCGGTGCGACGGACGTTTGCTGGCCGGTTGCCGGCGACGGCGGGCGATGGCGAAGTGCAGGAGAGAACGGTGGGACTGAATGACGATGACAGCGACTCGTCTGACGGTGAAGAGGGAGAAGAAGCAGAAGAGGGGGGAGATGGAGCAGAAGGAGGAGACCACGACGGATGGGAGTCGATGGATGAAGATTGAGCAGGAAGTAGAAAGAAAATAAACCGTTAGAAAAAAAAAGAGAGAGAGAAGAAGACGGGAGAAGAAATCATTTCTACTTAATTCCTTTCCCATTCTCAATTCTCAATTCTCAATTCATGTCGAGATACCCAGTATGTTGTATATATAGGCCTTACTAGGTTGGTAGGTAGTCACAGTCACGCCAAGGTACGGAACAGAAAAGTAAGCCAAAAAGAGAAAACAAAAAATATTGTTTGTTTTTATTAATTTAAGCTGTCATTGTCATGCTGAAAAGCTAGATTTTTGTTTATTTTTTTTCTTTTTCTTTTCTTTTTTTTTTTTACTTTTATATCCATATTCAGTGTCCATTTGTTTGTTTGTTCTTGTTTTGCCTGCACAGTGTACTGTGCCAACATATTAATTAATTATATTCCTAGCAATCAGCAGTCAAAAAAAAATGACGACAGTAGAAGAAGAATAAAAAATGAGAATTGTATAATTGTATATATGCACATGCATGCATGTATGTATACGGAGTAGAATAGGCCTTGGATGGGAGGGAGAGACAGGAGCTGTGCCCTAACTAATTAAGTAAACCCTAATCTAATACTTACTTCCTAAGCCGGAAGCCTATTTATTACTCCGTACATACTGTATCCATACTGATAATTATTCCCAATAATAACAGACTGTAAGAAGAATCTCGATAATAATAATGATTACATATCATCATCCTGCAGTGGGCAGTTTCTGCCAGAATGAATGCAAGACTACTGTCATAGCCAATAATACTATGTATGTCCTCTGTCGATCTATCTTCTCGTCAGAGGAATGAATGCACAGGAACTATCTTAATTAGAGACGGGGAACAACCCATCCATCCATCTTCCGGAGTAAAATTTAGCAGTCGCTAATATAATAATAATTAATTAAATCGCGCAAAAAAAAAAAAAGAAAAGGACTCATGAGCGTCCTGCAGTTCTGCTCAGTTTAATTAATTAATCCCTGTCGCTTGCGATTGCGCGGTGCAGCAACCCCGCTTTTGGACGAGGCTCGAGCGGGCTGCTTTGAATAATTCGAATCATGGTCAGGTCAGGTTGATGCGATGCGAGGGCTCTCTTGATTAATTAATTAATTAGTGAATTGATTCGCTTTAAATAAAATAAATCTATAGAGAGAAAAAAATATATACATATTTTGAACTGGAGCAATAACTACTCCATACTCGCCCTGAATTGAACGGATCTCATTGCGGTGTCTGTCCCCCTTTTTTTTTCAAGTTTCTAGATTCGCTGCACACCATGACTGGCAACGACAAACCAATCTTCCTATTTGTCCCCGGCGCATGGCATCAGCCCGAAGCGTTTGACGGGATCAGAGCACTCATGGCCAAACGAGGTCTGCAAACCGCAGTGGTAGCCCTCCCTTCCGTCGGCGCCGAACCTCCCACCAAGGGCTTGCACGATGACATTGACCATGTGCGCGCGACTATCACGCACCTGGCAGACGATGGCAGACAGGTCGTCGTGGTTGCGCACTCGTATGGCGGGATGGTGTGTTCTGGCGCCGTGCAGGGTCTGGAGTATAGTACTCGCCAGGCGCGATCAGATTCAGGCCAGAAAGGAGGCGTCATCATGCTGGTCTACATGACTGCCTTTGTTGCGCCGAAGGGGTCGACGCTGCTGGACATGCTGGGGGGAGAATGGCTTCCGTGGATGAAATTCGACGTGAGTTAAAAACTTGCTGACGCAGAAAAAGCATTATAACCTATGGTAAATACATCAGGGTGATTACTCGTACTCCTCCTCCGAGGAAACGGTCTTTTACAGCGATCTAGCCCCCGCCGAACAGAAGAAATGGATCGCCAAACTTCGACATCACTCCAAGAAGGCGTTTCTGGAACCAGTCCCCCACGAGCCCTGGCATGACTTGCCGTGTACGTATCTCTTCTGCGAAAAGGACCTTGGTCTGCCGATGGCGGTCCAAGAGAGTTTTGCAAAGAGGCTGGGAAGCGAGAGCACCACCTTTCGGTGTGAAGGGGCCCATTCGCCGTTTTTGAGTGTGCCGGAACAGGTCATCGAGAGGCTGGAATTGGCTGCCAAAGAGGGGGCTGTAAAGAGTGGTGTTTCGGTGAACTAATAGCCGAAGGGACAATTGGTAACATCGCAAAAACATTGTTGCACACTGTCATGTAGAAATATAGCAAGGAATATGCTTAGGACCCGCCTAGAGAGTAGATGACGAGACTGCCGGTTGCAAGATAGGGTGAAGCCCGCCTGGGAAGAGGTAGGCTCGGCATAGACCAGGTATTTCCCTTCAATCACTCGACCTGCAAGGCTTGTACTGTATAATGTCAGTGATAGAGAACGCAAATGCAATACCCAACCGATGGACTGTAGGCACACCTGCAATATAACAACAGATAGTAAAAGAAAGGGGATACTAGATGTCGTTCGTATCCATCTTCGGCAACTCGCCTGTTTGAATTCTTCCACTTCTTCTGGATCATCATCGTCTAGCTCGTCGTCATCCAATAGCTCTTTCAAGGCTTCGATCCTTTCATCAATCTCTGATTCGCTCTGGCAATCATGGTTCTCCACTCCATCTTCCCCATACCAGGTATGAATATCGTAAAACTTGTCAAAGTAAGGACATAAGTCCTCTTGTCCCTCCCAGAGCCTCTCGAAATCCTTGCGGCCGTAAAAATAGGAGTAGTAAGATCTCCTTGGAAATCCTGTTCGAAAAGAGGCTAAATTGTAACCAAATTTGCACAGCACTTTGTCCCAGACATCATAGTTGTAACTCCCGTATACAGCAACATCATCTCGCTGTGCATAGCAGACTTCAGAGACGCTGATTCCATCGTTATCCTTTGCACAAACATCTGCACCATGCTCAATTAATAGGCTCAAAACCTCTTCATGCAGAGGCTTGCACGCTAAGTCTCTGACGCACAAACGCAGGCATGTCCTTCCCTGCGAGTCTCGAACAGAGACATCTGCTCCTCGACCAAGTAACAGTTGGAGAATGTCCACGGGGACGAACTCTTCCGAGCAGAGATAGAGCAATGGAGTAAGATCATCTCTCATTTTCTCGTTTATAACAATCGAAGAATCTCCTATAAAGAGATGCAAGAGTTTCTGCAACGCAAAAGTCAGGTCATTCTCTGTCACAGACATAAAGAATGTCTGCTGGCACCAACCTCTTTCTCATGAGAGAGTGCATTTTCGAATGCTGAGCGCAGGTATCCATTGTCAATCAATGGATCTGCACCACAACAGTAATCGTGCACACTCGAGGTTATGAGGGTCCTCGCCCATGTCGTATATCTCAGGATCTTCTTCCCTGCTAATAAATGTCAATTGCACAGTCCAAGTTGACTGAAAGCAATCCTTCTTGGTAGCACTTACCCTCTATCGAAAAGCCACGATTTGAAAGGATCTACGAAGACAAACATCTCCTTGGAGTCTACATCAGCTCCTTGCTGAATGAGGAATCTGCATATGTGTGGTTGTCCGTAATAATATGCGTACTACATCTCACGTCCAGTTAGTCTCTGTAGAATGTGCAAGCAGGGCAAGTTCTTACACGTATAAGAGAATATCCAGCTGGACTAGAGTCATTGACCGATATCTCACCATTACCAAACAAACGGATAAGGCTCTCTAAGTCACCCTTCTCAATGTAGTCAAAAACTGGAGAGTCATTTGGAATGATGCGTCTGATGGATAGTGATGGTTTCAAAGAATCAGATTCTAGATCTGGTGTAATGCCTTGTTGCAATGTCAGATGTATGATAGATTGGAAATGAGAGTTGAAATCGGATGGTTGAGAAGAACTCCACTAATTGTTGTCTAGCATTTCGTGTTTCATTATTATTTCCGAGTTGTGTGGACTGATTCTAGCTCTTCCACGTCCAGACCGTCATGGTTCCACTTCCTATTCTGTATTTCCGTACTTTGCTGTCAATCCATTGGCTTCGTAGTTCACGACGTTTTGATGCTTGTATGACTGGTTGAGCTTGGCTTCAAGGCGCCTCAGTACTGCTGTCAGCGCGTCAAATTGGAGTCTCGACATATACGGAGCTTCGTCCACGCTCGTCATAATACGGTTTAAAGTTTCTTGTGTGCGATTATGCAACGCCAGGGAAGTCTCTTCCAGTTTTCCAAAAGCAGTTTGGGTTTGTGTCAGAGATGCGGATTGTTGGTTGGCGAGCTGCTCCATAGAGGTATTGATGCGAGCCAAGGCCTGTTGCTGTATTGAACTCGAGTCGCAGGCGAGAAGTCAGTCCTGCAAAAATATCTAGGAATAATTATAGGCAAACCTCTGCAGGATGTTAAGCTGTAACGTGAGAATTTCGACCTGATGGTGCACGCGATCCCACATGCTCTGAAAATCGTCCTTCATTAGAATCAACTTGACCCTCTTCCATGCTTTTCCCAGTCCGCGGTCGTCTCGAGCATCTTGCACTTTCGAAAGCTTCCTTTCGAACTCATCAGTAACGCTTTTACATTCCTCGACCAATCTTCGAAAGCTCAGAGGGTCCACGCAGGGTGTTTTGCTGGCCCAAAATGCGAGGATCAGACAGTTTTTGTAGAATGTTTCTTCAAGTCCTCGAGTGCGGAGGCTAGATTCTGGACTTCTTTGGGTCCATCTCGGATGCTGCTAACGGTATTGTATACGTTCTTTGCGGACTGCAATGCAAAGGTGATAAATGTAAGCAGGCTGGCGCCGCTGCCAATGGCCTCCATCACGGCGAGAGAAGAATTGTCAGAAAGAGAAGCAGGAAAAGAGCCAAGTTGTCGACGTCAGAGAAAGAGAAGAAAGATGGAACGCGGAAAGAGCGCCTGATAATCAGCCCGACCGGGGGCAGTACAAGGCTCTCCGCAAGGCTTGCAACCGCCAACGTGGCCAGCATATTACACTGTTCTTCTCCGCCAATAACATAGTCAAAGAGCCGAGCCAGGGTACTTCACTGGGAAGCAGTCGCCTTAGACAGCCTCAGCAACCATACATCGTTGTCTGCGGCAGTACAGCCTCTCGTATATTGCTGACAAGTCATACATTTAGATTAAGATCAATAATAGGGCCTTATAGGATACCTAGGTAACCTCGGAGGCCCAAGAATAATGGCTAGCCATATGATTCGAAGGAAATGATCTGTTTATAAGGGCGTACGGGGCGATTGAGTGAACATCAACAGATAACCTGAAATAAGGACAAACCTGGGCCTATCAGGGTGGTGAAGTCCACATATATAGACATTGAGCTTAGTGCTCAGTCCATGGATTTGGGTCAAACAAAATTCTGACCCAAGCACTTGGTTGGGTTCATACACTAATTATTACAGAGTTAGTACAGTACATGTCGCTTTAACTACCTACCTAGGTAGGTATACGGAGTACTTTTATATTCTATACTTTATCGTTTATATAATAGCCTTCTTCTAATAGTGGACTGGAGTAAGGTACACCCATCCTTAACGCTCTTAAAAGAAGATATCATTCGCATCAAGACTCAAGATGATAAAGCTGTATGGGTTGACTTTGCACCAGGCAGCAGCCATGCGACACTATGCCAGTTGCCTGGGTAAGTCGAGCATATTGCATTATAAGGCGAATCGTTTCTGCTTACTCGAGTGTTGTTGAGAGTTGGGGATTAGCATGCTGCATGACTTTGCCAGCAGTAATCGAGAGCATAACGAGTGAGGTGAGTTGAATTCCTGTAAGATGCGATTGCAGAGAAGATCACTTCTACTATACCAGCACCTTCGAAGCTCTGCAGTCGTACCCTGTCACGTGTGTGCAACATGCTATACAATCAGTAACAGAGATGGCAAGAATCATGGCAAAAGAATATTGCGAGGTATATGGTCAGGAAGATGCCTCGAGAGTAGATAATCAAGGCAAGGTAGGCCTGGGTAGACCAGTCGACAAGGCATGTGACAGGTACATGTGACTTATCCAAGCGGATCTCCTAAGGACAGCTGGCCTCAACTTGGAACTCGATCCTGTACGCTTTAGTTCATTTAGTTCAGACAGACGCGCAGGTCACAGGGGGAAAAAAAAAGGCGACAACAGAATTAGAAATATGTCCTCCATATCTCAAGTTCTTAGACTATTGAAGTTACATCTACCATAGTCATTCCATTCACTACTTAGGTCACATGCACAAACTACATAGCATTCGTATCAGATGGTATATTTCCTGCGGGGGAAACATGACTATAGTCTATAGCTGACTAGTTGAAGAGAAAAGGTCGTAGCAAGAAACTATTATCTGCTAGATTAACCTTGATTTAGGTGGCCGCAACAGTGGGGTGGATTGCCCTACAGGTGGGGACGGGATAGCATCGCATCACGGTTGCAATGCACAGTCACCTGCAGCCCGTCTTTCGAAGGGCAGAGTTTATTCCAAATAGCCTGCAGAGGCGTAGGATCAAAGAACTCAGGCATGACCTGTTTGTTGCAGACTACCTTTGGAGATTGGTAGTAGTTATTCGGAGTAATGACTACAATGCGTTTGTGAGGACATTAGATTCTGAATTGTGACGGATTAATTACTCCGTATTCTAACTTCTGCTACAATCTCCAACAGTCACCCGATGCGACCATATCGGATGCTAACAGACTGTCGGTACGCGATCGATCACTCGACCACGCCCTGTCACGAAGGGCATGGCTGGCCACGCGGAATGCAGGCCATCTGATTCGTCCGCGCGGACCGACGGTGTTGCAACGGTCGATCGGACGTTGTTTGCTTAATTCACGATGAAACATCACACTTGGTCTCCACGTCAGCCGGCAGTCTGCCACTGTCATCCGGCGCTTTTTCGCAGCGAGGATGGTGTGCTTGTGCGGCGGCGGAGACGGCAAAGGCAGCGTTTGCTGGCGCCAGTAGACGGAGCCCACATGGCGCAGGCACCGCAGGCCATTCGCCGTTGCATTGCACACGTCCAGGAGTGGTGCGGTTGCAGCCGTCAAAAGACGCCGGCGTCCCAGCGCCCTGGCCGTTCGAGACGTCGCCCATGGCCATTGGCGGAAGCGTCGAAACGCACGATCCTGGATTCGTAGAGCACGCTGCAACCCCCGTCGGCCTGCCTCGTCGTCGCTGCAGGCTCTGCGCTCCCTGTGCCGCCGGAATTCCGGTCGATTCCGGCAAGGAGAAGGGTGTGCGCAAAACTGGAGCGTCGACCATGGTTCGCAGGCTGCAGAACCGTCTGTAAGGCACGAGTCAACGGCGAGGGGCTCCGCTGGCCCCTGCAGGCGGCCAGGAGCCCGCTAGGCCGATCAAAGTTTTCGCTGGTGACGAGAGGCCCACAGCGCTGGCCACTCCTTATCGCCTTTTCGTCCGGGGAGGCGCTTCCTGGCAGCCTCCGTTTCAACCTTGTTCGCAGGCCTGGCCCTGGCCGCCGCCTCTCCGTCTGGTGGCCGGTGCCTTAGTCCTCTGCTCTCCTTCATTCCCCCTCCTATCTTCTTCACTCTTCTTCACTCCTTCAATCCTCTCCTCCTGCGGGTAGTGCTTCTACGGTAGTGCTCCTACATGGGTTGATCGAGAGTGGTTCTCCCTCTCTGCATTCCTTTCTCTCTCCCTTGGCGCGTCCTGGTTGTCCGCTCCTTTGATTCACTGTCGCCTTCTCGACGAGAGGGCCTTTTCTTCTTCCTCTTCGACTTAGAGGACTCCCATTGCAGCGCAATCTCTCCGACCTTCCTTTCTCCAAACGACTGCGCATCGATTTGATCCGTCGCTCTCTTGCTGCACCCCGTTTGCCATCGTGACATCAAACGCCATAGTACCCACTGCGAGCGAGGAAATACTGGGCTAAGGACATCGATCGATCGAGTCGTCAGCTACTTTTTTTTTTCTTTTCTTTTTGCAAGATCTGCGATCTTGTTCATTCTCTTCGTCTGAACCATCCTATTCGAATCGCGCTTCGATCACGGGACTGGCTTTCCGCACCCACTATCAGGAGACTACGCACTGAAGGACGAGGAAAGAAGAGCACAAATCGGCTATTCCATCCTTCTGAAATTGCCTACGGACCTGTCGAGCACGAGACATCACCGCTATGGCTTCTCTGAGCAGAGCATTTACCCTGCGCAACAAGCGCCCGGAGATCTCGGGCCCGATGCCCTACCGTGAAGGCCAGGTCAAGTTTTCGTCCGGCACCATCCGTCGTGGCAAGATCTCGGGGCCTGTGGAGCTGCTGTCGTCAACGAACATGCTGGTCTATACTGCCCCCGATGTGGGCTCCGTGTCATCGTCGTCGTCGACGTCCTCCTTCCGGTCGGGTGATGAGACTTCGACGACCAGTCCGATGACGTCTCCCCATGCGTCGTCGACCGAGGTGTCGCCGATTGGTCCCGAGCCCAACCACGTCTCGACTGCTGGCCTTCCCAAGAGATCCGCGACCATCACCACGACGCCTCGTTCGTCGACCTCCTCCTCCTCCGGGGGCGAGGCGCCGCCCAGCGTGCCCAAGCGCGCTCTGTCGCACACCAAGAAGTCGCATCAGGAGCTCGCCCGGCAACGCTCCGTCTCGCGCATGACGCCACCCCCGTCGTCCCTGAGCAATCCCACAGCGACCATCCGCCGCAGTCAAGATTTCTTCCAGCCGCAGCCGGAGCAATCCACCCACCCGTTCAGTCGGGAGCTGGACAAGGTGAACGAGGTGGCGGAGGACTTTGGCGCCTCGCGGGTCTTGGAAGAAGAGGAACAGATTCTTCTGCGCAAGGGCCTGAAGAAGTTCTCCGTCGAGGAATACCTGTCCGAGATCGAAGATCTGTACGGGGGTGTCTTTGATGATCAGCTGGGACCACCGGGTGGTGGTTCTTGGCTGTAGCAAGTTGCAGTCTTCGGCGCATTCTTTCTTTCTCACGAGCTGAATTGTTTTCTTCGACGATTCCACGATATCCAAAACACCGCCCAGGGAATTGGTATCTTTCTCCTTCATTTTCTCTCCTGCAACTGGAGTGCGACCTTCATTCGTTCGCTTTTCACCTTTCTTTCCTTCTTTCCACCATTTTCCGGGACGGTTTGCTTTGTCGATTAGACACCATGTACATACATACATACATACTGAGGAGGGATCTATTTGTTCACATATCTTCGGGAGAAATCGATGATGACCGGGCGGGGGGTCATCATGTTTGGCTTGGAGCACCGGTTCATGAACATAGCTATGGATATGCTTCCTCTTTTCGGGCCATTCATTCTTTTCATGCTGTCAGTTCCACCGGGCCCATCTGGGTTGGCTCTTTGCTTTTTATGTCACCTGTAAAATGGGATAGGATGACGTTTGCATGCAGAGCGAGTTTTTAAAATGTCATGTCTATCGTGCGAACTGACTATTGCTCATCTTTCCTATGTCTTGTAATTGAATGTCTCGATTGTTGTAGCTGTCACGCCATATCATTTAGTCAACCTACTGAACCGTATCGTACTCCACGCTACTCCATTCATGAGAGGTCCATTACCGCAGTAGCTTTTTCGAAAGTGAATACTCCGTAATTCATGGATAACCGAAATCGGCAAAATTGAGCTTTTCCAGCCGGTCACGAGCGCTAGCGGCGCTGCCAGCCAATCAGCAGCCAAAGCGAGGCGTCTCCCACACAGCGGCGACGCGTCTCTTCACTCGCTTCTCCGTTCTCTCACCGCCTGTTGTGGAGACCCCGTCCGTCTCTCTTTTTTTTTTCTGTTCCAATTTTTCTCTTTCTGGAAATCTCGCGTGCGTCCTCTGGTTCAGGCGCTCTGTCTGCGCTCTCGTCTGTGGTTCCAGCGAGGTCGAGTCTCAAAGAGATCCATCCAGCAGTGTCCACGACAGGGCAGACAGACGGGCTTCCACTGTTTGTCGGCACGCGGCGTTCAAGCACAGACAGTACGGGTCTATGTCGTGTGCCTCTTGTTCCTCGAGTGGAAGGGCGCCGTGATTTCCACTGCAACTACGTCCGATGGAGACACGTTGTCGATAAACCTGCACAGTCGATCTCTGCAGCACGAAGAGCAGGTTCTGTTCGAGCTCTGGATTGATTGAGTATTAATACTTTGCGATGGTTTCCCTTGCACCCGCGCCCAGCAGCCTAACTCCGGCGGCTTTCATGGCGACGACCACCCCCTCCAAGATGCCGCCTTCATCCTCCCCCGCAGCGTCCATCCTCAAGTCAGCCAAGCCGGCTGTCGACACCACGGCGGCGACGACCACGGCCGGGAAGAAACGCAAAATGGAGGAGATGGATCTGTCGTCGTCGCCCCCGTCATCCCCTGTCTCCGATGCAGGGAGCCGTGATGGGCCAGCCCCCAAGAAGCGAGCCCGGGTCCAGTTCGAGTCGGATGTCGAGATGCGACATCTTCCCACGGCAGCAGATGGAGACGAGAACGAAAAGAGTGCCGCCGTGGTCCGCGAAGAGGTCCGCAGGGCCATTCAGAGGCATGTTTCGGGCACCGACAGCGAGGCCTACGACCGCATCAAGGAGATCTTCTCCATTGACCCGAAGAAGGCGGAAGAGGATGGATCATACGACGTGCCTACCCACACCACCCTCAAACGCCATCTCATGGGCTTGCTGTCGAACGTTGCCATGCTGGACCGCAACTGTTTGGGCCTTGTCAACGCTGTGTTGGGCAGCGAGTGGCTGGGACGAGACGAATCCTACGTCAAGTTGTTCGTCCGCTTTTTGGGGAATCTGGCTGCAGCGCAGGGGGGCTACCTGCGTTCGGTTTTGAAGATGTTGGTCGGCTATTTCGGAGAAGGTAAGGGATATCCTTCCTGCATTCTCAATGGAGCCGTCTCGGGCTGATGGGTGCTCCGTGAATATAGTTCCCAAAGGCACGGGAAAGCTTCCTGGGTATCCCCCGGTCCGTAACTCGGAGATCTACGCTCGAACCCACATGGCGCTGCGCTATGTGATGCAATTGATTCCTGCCGGCAGTGGCACTCTGTCGCCCATTCTATCTGGACAGTTCCCCTTCGACACGGATTCGGCCAAGGCCAATGTCGCTTACACGCGGAACTTGATCAAGATCATCGAATATGCGCCCGAATTGCAGTCCGACATTCTCGCACTGATCACGGAGAAATTGGTCAAGATCGACGTGCAGATTCAGGTGGACATGGAAGACTTCGAGGACGAAGTGGGGGAGGACCTGCTCGAGGAGTTGTCCCGCCCGGTTGATCCGACGGGTACGGAGGATGAAGACGAGTCCGACAGCGAGTCTGTCGCAAGCGACGACGAGTCTGTCGACGCGGAGACGCGGCGTCTCAAGGTCGTCCGGGACAACATCCGCAAGCTCGACTCGATGATTGACACTCTCTTTGAATTCTATGCCCCACCCTTCACGAGTGGCACGCTCGACGAGAAGGAGAACGCCTTGGACCTCTTGTTGAGCCATTTCCAGAGCATCATCCTGCCAACGTACCGATCTCGCCACTCCCAATTCCTCCTGTTCCATTTCTCGCAGTCGTCCCCGATCCTGGTTGATCGATTCGCCGCAACGTGCATCCAGATTATCTTCAGCAAGGTGCAGCCCGCGATCATTCGTCAATCTGCGGCGGCGTATCTTGCCAGCTTCGTGGCGCGCGGTGCGCACGTCTCGTCCGAAGTGGTCCGCGATGTGTTCGACCTGCTGGGCAGCCATCTGAACAATCTCCGCATCGAATACGAAGCCACCTGCAGGGGACCCGATCTACGGCGATATGGGCCCTTCTACTCGACCGCGCAGGCACTTCTCTACATCTTCTGCTTCCGCTGGCGGGACCTGACCACTGCGGCGGCCGAGGAAGGGGGCGTGGCGAATGATGAAGACCTGGACCCGGAGGATGTGACGTTCCCGCCGTCGATCAAGGAACTTCTCCACCGCGCCATCTACTCGAAACTGAACCCGCTCAAGGTGTGCTCTCCGGCGATCGTGTCCGAGTTTGCGCGGATTGCGCACCACCTGCGGTTTCTGTATGTGTTCCCTCTGCTGGAGACGAACAAGCGGCTGCGGGTGTCGTCGTTCCGGAGTCTGACGGCGCTGTCGGATCCACGCTTCAGCCAGGTGGAGAGGGAGAGCCGGGCGGGCGACGACGGCGGGTACCAGCTGGACGCGTATTTCCCGTTTGATCCGTACCAGCTGCCGCGCAGTCGGCGGTGGCTGGAGGGCGACTACGTGGAGTGGCGGGGCATCCCGGGGGTGGACGACCGGGACGACGACGATTCGGACAGCGCGGTCGAAGACGAGGAGGAGGAAGAAGAGGATGGCGACGAGGAGCCGACGGCGTCGGATGAGGAGTAAAAAACACTCATCCTAGTCATCCTACTTGGAGAGTCATCTTTCGATTAAAGTAAAAAAAGTTGGGCTAAATAGTGTTGATTTGATTGATTTGATTCGATGTCTTTTTATTTCTGGAGTTATGTACTGTACAGTACTGTACTGTTTGTTTGTTTGTTCGTGATGGATCTGGTCAAGCATGGCGTACGGATTGATTGATTGATTGATTGATTGATTGATTCATGGATATGAAATGATATCATGGACTGTGATTGACGGACATGTCGAAATTCGGTAGTTAGCATCATTGACGAAGTGACTAGGTAGTTTGAATTGACTTGAAGCATGATAACATTGCCAGCACCACTCCCTCCCTATGTAGTACAGCAGGTAGTACCTATGAATACACTGCACGCTACTGAGTATACTGCAATACATATATACAGCACATTATTCGACCAGAAAGAAAAGGAGGAGGAAAAAAAGGTCAGTCTGTCAGTCTGTCAGTCATAGATAGATAGATAAAGAGTCAGTCATAAGGACTTACTTAAATATTTCGCCAGTATACATACGTAGTATATATAATACATAGTACCAGGTACTATGATCGATTGATCCATCATGATTTTATCGCGCAGAGCAGTGGTTTAGGTACCTAGGTAGGTATCCGGTTTCTACTGAGGTGCCCAGGTGTACTCCGCTAAGGCGCTAGGCTAGGCTCCACTTGGACACCCACCCGACCGTGGACATGACACACGGTCACACCTGACTGGACGGGAGTCACGGGACGGGACATAATACTCCGTATGCTAATGCCGGATTCGGAGAATTTCTCCGTTATCCATTGCTTAATTATAATTAACCTAACCTCCACAGGGCCACTTCGCTTCCTTCTCCCCCATGGGGAGGACGGAGTACGGAGTATTGATTGATGATAAAGATGTTGATATTACTGATATACACATATTGTACTAATGGAAAAATTAAAAAGGAAAAAGTATTTATTATCCGTGATATTATTATTATGTGTTTATTGTATTCTGTTCTGTTCTGTTTTGTGCTGTAGGGAGGAGGTCATCTGCTACGAGCACGAGGACAATACAACACAACACGAAAGAAAAAGACGAGCGGATTGCACCAGGCACATACTCATGTTGTACTGTAGACCATTATGTACATTCATCGAGGAGCATAGCGTAGCAATAACAATAACTAAGACAAAGAAACAAGCGATCGAACGACTGGACGACACTCATGACTCGTCAAAAATGGCCTTCATCTCCGCACAGGCCGCTTTGTACAGCAGATTGACCCGCGCCCGGTCGCGGAACGGGTTGGGCGACTTGTCCCACGCGTGCGGCGCCTTTTCGATCATCATGGCGCGCACCTTCTTGCCTAGGCGCTGCAGACGTCGCACGAAGCGCTGGCCCTCCTCCATCAGCATGTCCCACTCGCACGTGTACAGGAAGACGTGATGCGGCAGCCCCTCGGCCAGGATCTCGTCGGTGGCCCGCTCGGGCGAGGCGAAGGGCGACGCTCGCTCCGCATGGTCGGGCAGGTAGGACTCGTCGAAGAGGTTGGTGAGGAAAGGCGGCAGCGTCTTGGCCGGCATGGGGCAGTTGGCGCGGCGGTGCTCGCGCGACGCAACAAAGTCGAGGATGGGGTACCAGGCGAAGATGGACACGATCTGCAGGTTGGCCGCGCCGTCGACCAGGTTCTGCGTCGAGTCCAGCGGGCCGAGCAGGTCGCTGCCCCGGTCGTTCTGAATGCGGTGTTGCAGCCGCAGCGGCACCGTGACCGCCAGATTTCCGCCTGCGGAGAAGCCGGTCAGGGCGACGCGCGACATGTCCAGGCCCAGCTCGCCCGCATGGGCAGCCAGATACAGCAGCGCCTCGACACCGTCGTCGACAGCTGCCGGAAAGGGATGCTCCGGCGCCAGGCGATAGCCCACGCTGACAAACACGGCGCCCGTCTCGTTCAGCACGCATTTGGCCCAGTACGAGTCGTCGGTTGCGCAGCCCAGCGTGAAGCCGCCGCCGTGGAAGTTGACGACGACGGGGAACGGACGGCCCTCCTTGGACGCCAGGGATGGCGACGGGGCCTCCAGGTAGGCGGGCGGGCAGTAAAAGTACAGGTCGATGCAGCGGTCGCCCGAGGGGAAGGTGATGCGGCGGGTGAAGCGAGGGCGCGGCGGGCGAGACAGGCCCAGCGTGTGCATGAACATGCCAATGCGCATTAAAAACCTCCAGAAGATGGCCTGGACGTAGAGCCACCAGCGCCCGGCCATGGTGAGATGCTGGATGCTGTTGGCAGCGCGAATGGCAGGGACGAGAGTGGTGGATGGGACGAGAGATAAGTACGGAGTAGATGTAGATAGCAGCCGGCCAGTCTCGTGATAGGGCGGGCGAGGCTTGCGCAATCATGAAGGCGCCAACTTATTAAACTCGTAACCCCCCGCCGGTCGACCCCAGCTCCAGCTTCTGCCATGCCGCTGACATCGACGACAGCAGAATCCAGCCCAGTCACCGGTCAATCCGGGGATCGATGATCAGTGATCGATGGATCGACGCGTGCGTCAGGTTCGATGCAGGCACCGCCTCAGGCAGCCAATGGGCGCGGCACTGGCCAGCCCTGTCGATCAACCGAGGCAGGCTGGAAAAAAGAAGAAAAAGAATCTTAGGTAACTGACTAATTCTTTTTACTGGCGAATCGCAGGGCAGAACGCGGTGGCAGGATCGCCAGAGCCAGGCCTTTTGGACCGAGTTGCGGGCTGATCGGCAGCCAAAAAAAAAACTGGACGGAGTACACTGTACGCTCTACTACTCCGTACACACTGCTACCCTGCAGCTCCTGAACGTGTCTGGATACACGCGATCTTGCTCTGTCTTGTCTCTTTATTTTTATTGATTTTATTTTATTTTATTTTATTTTTTTTTATATTTTTTAGTCTTAAAATTTTTTTGTTGCTATTCTCGCTTCCCGCTTAGTCAGCGTGTCGATGACATAATCGATTCCGCCTGACATCATACTCTTCCTCTTCTTCTCCCAAATCTCTGCAGCAGCGTGTCGACGAGCTGCAGTCCAATTGCCCGCGTTTTCGCTGTCAACTCTCTGCCTGCTCTGCTCGGTGCCGCTGGGCTCGAGCGGTCGCGAGTCCGTGCCTCGAACCCCCCCGGATCGGACGATGATCAGATTCTTTTTTTTTGTCCGCATTCGCCGTTTCCGACAGGCTCCGCCAGCTCCAGCTGAGCCCTGCTGCTACGTGCTAGCTCAACCCAACAGCAACCCCCTCCTATAATAGGAGATACTCACCGCGCCCAGAGCTTCCGTGAGCTCCCTTTTCTCCTCTTCCGCCCTCCTGCTGTCCTTTTCATCACTGATCTCCTGCCAGGCCTCGCTCCAGCTCCCTGTCCCGCGACCCACGCGCCCCTCGCTCCCTCCTGCCGGCCTTGGCCCCTCTGAATTCCTCTCCTCGTTCCCCCATCTGGGGCTCCGTGTGTGCCCGTCTCCAGCCATGTCCAGCATCCGACGCGCCTTGTCCAAGATCCGTCCCAGGGGCGGCGATGGCAACTCCAGCCAGGCCAATCCCCCTCCCCCGCGTCGCCGCGCCGCTCGCTCGCCAGTTTCCTGCGCGAGCGCGACTACATCTCCTCGTCCGACGACATGTCCGACGACTCGTCCGGCGCCATGAGCAAAAACCAGCAGAAGCGCCTGGCGCGCCAGCAGCGTCGCCAGACCAGGAGCCGCCTCAGCGAGGAGCATCGCAGCGAATCGGAGCAGCGACGGCGCGAGAAGGAGGAGGCGCTGGCCCAGCAGGAGACGCCCGAGATGCGCAGTCGCTACGGCGATCTGCCCCTGGTCCAGAGCCAGGAGCGCCGTCGTGAGCCCCGCATCCGCCTGGAAGACATCTCGCCCAGCCTCATCGGCCAGCAGGTCACCTTCACCGCGCGGCTGCATATCGTGCGCAACATGAGCGCCCGCCTCGTCTTTCTCGTCTTCCGCCAGCAGATCACCACCTTCCAGGGCGTCCTGCACGCCGATGACGGCAAGCGCTCCACCGCCATGGTGCAATGGGCCGAGCGACTGCGCACCGGCACAATCGTTCGCGTTCGCGGAACCCTGCAGACGCCCGCCGTGCCCGTCCTCGGCTGCACCATTCACGACGTCGAAGTGGCCATCGACGAATTGCACGTCGTCGTTCGCCGCGAAGAATCCGTGCCCTTTTCCGTCTACGAGGCCGAGATCCGCACCGAGGAGGAGGATCGCGCCGAAGGGCGTCACAGCCACATCCCGGACCGCACCCGTCTTGCCAACCGCATCCTCGACCTGCGGACGGGCACCTCCCAGGCCATCTTCCGCCTCCAGTCTGCCATTTGCAACCTCTTCCGGGCGGCCCTCGACGAGCGCGGCTTCATCGAGATCCACACGCCCAAGCTGCAGGGCACCGCGACCGAGTCCGGTGCCAGCGTCTTCGAGCTCAACTACTTTGGCCGCCCGGCCTATCTCGCCCAGAGTCCCCAGCTGGCCAAGCAGATGGCCATCGCCTCCGACTTTGAGCGCGTCTACGAGATTGGCGCCGTCTTCCGCGCCGAAAACTCCAACACCCATCGCCATATGACCGAATACACCGGGCTGGACATCGAGATGGCCATCGAGGAACACTACCACGAGATGATGGAGACCATCGACGCCGTGCTCAAGCACATCATCCGGGGCCTCTACTCGCGCTACCGTCGCGAGATCGACCTGGTGAAGCACCAATTCCCGTCGGACGATCTCGTCATCCTGGACGAGACGCCCGTCATCCGCTTCAAGGACGCGATCAAGATGCTGAACGAGTCCGGGTGGCTCAATGAGGATGGCTTACCGCTGCCGGAGGACGAGGACCTGCACACGCGCGACGAGATCCGTCTCGGAGAGCTCGTCAAGGAGAAATACGGCGCTGACTACTACATCATCGACAAGTTTCCCGCATCCGCCCGCCCGTTCTACACCATGCCCGACCCCGAAGATCCCCGCTTCACGAATTCGTTCGACATCTTCGTGCGCGGGCAGGAGATCGTCTCTGGCGGCCAGCGTATCCACGATCCCAAGATGCTCGAGCAGAGTCTGCGACACATCGGCGTCGATCCGTCCGTCATGGAAGACTACATGGAAGGGTTCCGCTGGGGCGCTCCGCCCCACGCCGGCGCCGGCGTCGGCCTCGAACGGTTGCTGATGCTCATCCTCAAGCTGGGCAACATCCGCCTGGCGTCACTCTTCCACCGCGACCCCAGGAGCTTCCCGCCCAAGCCGCCCGTGTTCCAGCTCCGCCATCCCGAATCCTCCACCGTCGCGCCGCCGTGGCAGAAGGAAGACCGGGGCCGCAAGGCGGCCGGCGAGCACGAGATGCAGCCCCTCGAGGAACTCATTGCCAACTACGGGGATGCCACGTCGACCTCCTGGACCGACGAGCGCTACCAGATTTGGCGCGACCCTGGCACCGGAGCCGCCGTGTCCTACGTCCCCAGTCACGGCTACGCCATCATCCCGGGCAACCCGCTCTGCGACCCCAGCCAGTACCACCGCATCATCAACTCGTTCCTGCACTGGCTCCGCAAGGAGACCAAGCTCAAACCCATCTGGATCCTCGTCTCGCCCCAGGTCGAGGATCTGCTGGGCGAGAAATTCGGCTGGCGCAGTCTGTCCTGTATCGCTGAGGAGCGCGTTGATCCGGCCCGCAACATGACGGCCTCGGACGGAGAGGTGGCGCGCAAGATCCGCCACGCCGAAGCGGAGGGTGTCCGGATCGTGACTCTCGCGCAGGGCGAGCTGCCGTCGGAGGAGATCCGGGCCAAGATCGACAAGCGCATCCAGGACTGGCTGAGCAACCGGAAGGGCACGCAGATCCACCTGTCCGACATCGCGCCCTGGCGCGACCCCAAACACCGCTGGTATTTCTACGCCCTCGACAAGGAGGGCAACATCGCGTCGTTTGTCGCCCTCGCCATGCTGGCGCCGGCCAACGGCATGCAGGTCAAGTACAGTCTCGACTTCCCCGGGGCCCCCAGCGGCACCATCGAGCACATCGTGACGCACGCCATCCAGACGGCGGCGCGGGCGGGCGTCAAATCGCTCACCTTTGGCGCTGGCGCCACGCCGCAGCTGGTGCCGGGCCACCACATGAAGGGGACCAAGGTCCGCATGCTGCAGCATACCTACGAGGCGGTGGTCAAGCAGTTCCACCTGACGCGCAAGAGCGAGTTCCGGTTGAAGCTGGGGGCGCGTGAGGAGCCGCTGTACATTGCCTACCCACCCCACGGGCTGGGGTCGCGTGGGATCCGGGCCATCCTTCACTTCTTTGAGGATTGAGTGCGTGAGAAGGACGATGGAGAGTGAAATAGAGGAAAGAAAAGACGATGACGACGTTGGTGGAGTATGGCATTCCGTGCCAGTCATGATGGGTTTGATATCCCGTTGTTTTATTCGAGTTAGATTTGGGATTGCGGGGTTCATCATATAGAATACAGGGCCTTTTTTTTGTCCCCTGTCACAGGGAGGTTTTGTTGTTTTGCCCGGTTTTAGCCATATATTCCCCCCTCTTGTTGATTAATTTCATGCATGCTCGTTGATGCTGATGCTGTTGATGCCCTTGACGATTGCTTGCTTCTGCATGATGTTGTTTCCGATTGTAAGCTTATATTTATATTTGTATTATACTTATACTTATATCTCAATACTAATAATCCCTGTCCTACTCATCAATTGTGTGCATGGCTGGACTGTTGTTCACCGGTTGTTCATATGGCATTTGGAGCACGATCACTGATTGGCTGAGCATATGGTCATCATACGCACATAGGTACAGAGTCTGTAGGGGCTTACACATGTAAGCCCTGTACTGTACCGGGTTGCAGTTGAGCCCGGCCAGAAAAAAGTTGAGCCCGGCTAGCCATTCAATTTATTATTACTTAAATAGGTATATTCTGCGTGGGTCTAGCCGGGCTCAACGTTTTTCTGACCGGGCTCAACTGCAACCCGGTACAGGAGCACTCTAGATCTATATCCTAGGTCATTTAAGCCCTGTCTCCTACGGAGTATAGGCTCTAGCCTATAATAATATGCCCCTCCTATAATAGGTATTATAGCCTGATATTAATAGTAACTATATGGCTAAAAAATTTGTTTTTGCCCTTTTGTCCTAATAGCAGCCATGTGCATGAAGGGGGTGGGGAACTTTATTGGCACGGCAAACAAACTTTCGATTCAAAACAACTTGAGACGGACTCACTTACACCACATACAGTATTTCTGTCACAAGCAGATCAAATGCTCAATGTCCT